AGTATTACGTACAAATTATACAAGTTTATAATTCTAAATACTGAATCATATTATTATGAACTAAATATAAAAGTATGCTAAATTATTGAACTTAAAACTACAAATTTAAATGCAAAAGAGTATCAAAAATCGCAAACTTTCAGTTCAAAGTCCTAAGCCTAATTCATGTAAAGACCTTGCACTCACCACTCAATAGCTCTTAACCCTAACAATCGTGGATCAACTTCTTTCTTAAAAAATATATCTATTTTCAGTTAATTTTTCAATATAATGATTAATATAAATAGATATACGATGCAGCATGACTTAAGCTACTATTTAAAAATATTAAAAGTCACGTACATCCCATGCAGTTTTTTTTCCAGAAGCAAGTTTTCTAACGCTGAAAGAAAAGCACTATTGGCCAGTACTAAATACAACCTCTACATAAAATTGCAGTTACTATAATAAGCACCACCCACATTTATATTGTAAAATCCAGAGAACAATGTTTCGTCACGTGCTTTGCTTATCATCCTATGATTTGTCAAACGTGAAATACAGCAATTGGAATAACATGGTACTGAAATTGACAACTTCGACTAGGATTGGCTAAATGTTTTACAACCGAGGTTTAACACGCTATGATGCTGTTTTATAAAGAAAACAAACTAGAAAAAGGTTTAAATACCAATCATAGATGGCAGGACCAGTGCTGAAGTGGCAGGAACATTTTTTTTACTTTTGAAAAAAAAATTTCTTCTTAGAGGGTGCTTATTTAGTCTGAAATATATTTTAGGATTTTTTTCATTAAATTCCTCTTTCAACTTCATTAAATAATACAATTTAGTACAAATAATTGAATGTTATGCCACTATTTACAAAGATAAAATCTGAAATCCACTAAAAGAAGTTCTCTATAATTTTTTTCAATTCACAAATATGATTTTGCCCTCACGATAAGACAAATTGGCCACGGGTTAAAGATAAGAAGTGTTCTGAATTCACAATGATTATTGTGAAGGAACTGTAGAATGAACTAGTTTGGGTTTGCCACTATTATTAATTCATATTGAGATTTTCATATTAATTAGGTTCTATTTAATTACCAGGTTACCAACTTGTTCTAGATAATTTGGATATATAGTTGCTCATAAATTTATAGATCTTAGGATCTAGCAGGTCACCTAGGTAATACAATTAATTTATGAATTAGTTTCATGCATAAAATTGAATTAATTAACTAGACTGACTAAATTCTTAGTGTAAGTAACAGAAATAAACTCTATACTACATAAATCAGAAACTTTTGTTTTAGCAGTAAAAACCAATAACTCACCAAAGAGCTTGGGCGATTCTAATATATTGTCTGAAATATTTTGTGTTTTAAAATGCATATTTGGATGTTCCTCAAATTATTTTTGGTCACCAAATATAGTGAGAAAAAAATAGACTTAATATAACATGCATCTGAATGCAAAGGTTTCAAGATTAAGTACATATTAATGAATACTTTTTATTTATTATTATATATGTATTTTTAAAAAGTAACTAAGATGTAAAATAATATAAACTTGTCAGGTTAGTTATAAAAACATAATTGAAAAAATTTCTCCTTGGGGAGTGCACACAGGCAGTCATCACATGATGTAACTCAATACTTTGTTTACCATAACTTGTATTAAACTCTTGCCAGGTAACTTATTACTCTGTTACACAAGTTTTACACAGTTCAAAGAGCAATGAAAGAAAATTAACTGAGAAACTGTCATGAATACGAGGCTGCTCAGGATAAATAACTGTAATTGACCTGTTACAATCTCAAGTTATTCTAGAAAACAAAAAGATATATTTTTGATTTTATTTCATATTTTTTCTTTACTTTTGCTATGGATGATTTTGCTACAGCAAGTGTTGGGGGAAAGAAAAGAAGAAATAATGTATAAAATTTAACAACAACAATTTCATCAATTCATTCAGAAGGTTCTAGAGATTATGCAAATGAAATACAAAACTGTCAGATGAAAAAAGTATTTTTATTCTTAGCATGAAATTCACCATTCATTCAGACTGATTCAGTAAAGACCATAAATTCACTGACAAATTTTAGTAATATTTATCACAAGCTTCTCAAATTCCATGAAGATAAACTTAGTCACAAAAAAAAAACAAGATTCATTAGCTGGAAATAACCAACCAATTACATGAATTAATTTCTTCTGGCCTTTTGGAAAGGGTTTGCTCTTACATCTTGCTTTTTATAATTACAATAATTTACTGAAATACTTTTCATGTATGAATATAGAATACTTACACAACTCATTATTTATGTCCTAACTTCCTATAAATGTTTTATATATTCACTATCTGTTTCTTTTAACATTTTTCATATCCCAGTACCTCCCAATTTTCAGTATAATCTGCAAGTTTTCGTTCTATTCGCTTACAATTTCTCACTTTTTTTTTACAAGCTCTACATTTTTCTTCATTGCTTTTTGTCCTTTTCGGTACATTACCAAACTTTATACTTGCTAGAATTTAAATATTGTATTTTATATATACTTCCACTTGTACCCCTTCTTTTATATTTTTGTAATGGTCAAAATACACAGATTTATCAACAATTTTCTGTAACTTATGCCTAAGTATTTTACCTCCTTGTTCTCCTTCAGCTATCATCACATATATTTTAGAATTTCCACTCTCTTCAACTCCCATTTCCACCTATTTCTTGTATTGTTTCCATCTCCTTTTGCAATTACTTTAAAATAATGTAGTGGTTAACTTCTTCCTTCCTTCGCTTTCATTATGTCATACACATGCACACTTTTTTTTATTGTA